CAGAAAGGAGGAGAGACAGAGAGAAAGATCTTCCATCCGATGATTCACTCCCCAAGTGACCATAAGAGCCGGTACTGCGCCGATCCGAAGCCAGGAGCCAGGAACTTCTTTCCGGGTCTCCCACAAGGGTGCAAAGGCCCAAGGCTTTGGGCCATCCTCAACTGCTTTCCCAGGCCACAGGCAGAGAGCTGGATGGGAAGTGGAGCAGCGGGGATTAGAACCGGCGCCCATATGGGATCTCAGGGCATGCAAGGTGAGGACTGTAAGCACTACACTATCGTGCCAGTTCTGAAATGAGCTTATCGAAAGAAAGAAAGGAAGAAAGAAAGAAAAGAAAGAAAGCAAAAAAAAAAAAATAAAGAAACGGGCCCGGCATGGTAGCCTGCTGCCTAAGAGTCCTCACCTTGAACACCCCTGGGATCCCATATGGGTGCCGGTTCTAATCCCCGCTGCTCCACTTCCCATCCAGCTCCCTGCTTGTGGCCTGGGAGAGCAGTCAACGACAGCCCAAAGCCTTAGGACCCTTCACCTGAGTAAGAGACCTGGAAGAAGCTCCTGGATCCTGGCTTCGGATCGGCATAGCACAAGCCGTTGTGGTCACTTGGGGAGTGAACCAGTGGATGGAAGATCTTCCTCTCTGTCTCTCCTCTTCTCTGTGTATCTGATTTTGCAATACAAATTAAAATGAATCTTAAAAAAAAAAAAAAGACAGCAATTTGTCTTTGGGGGAACAGTTCCTCTCATTGGGAAAGGTCAGGGCTTCTACAGACCCAACAGATACACGCCAGGTGCCAGAAGCAGCCTGGGCCGCCGCCACTGATGCCCTGTGCAGGTGCAGCCTCCAGAATAGAGCCACTCTCAGTAGCAGACGCCTTCGTATTTTTGTTTTTGTTTCCCGGTGTTGCTAAGAAACCTTGCTGCGCCGAGGCCCATTGGTGAGCGCCCCCTCTTGTGTCCAATTACTGTAATAGCACCCACAAATGAGCCAAGAACCAAGACGAAACTTTATGGAACACATGAGTTTGATCATTTTTATTGTGAGCAATGATACACAGGAAGTTATCTGGGATGTACAGACGGCTTGAGAAATTTTTATCAAGTGAAGCCGCGTACAGCCGCGTCCATGTAAAAGACCCGGGCCCTCTGCCCGGGTCACAGGCACACTCCTAGTTTCTGAAGTTCCTAGGGCCTTACCGTTATGGTTGTCTGTTGTCGCATAGCTCTGGCTTTGTCTGAGAACTTTACATGGGTGAACGTGTACTGTTTTGCTCAGTATTGTATATGTATGTCAGTAGGTAGGTATGTATTTTATCTTCCACCCCTGCTTCATTCCCCAAATGTCCACAACTGCTGGAGTTGAGCCAATCTGAACCCAGGAGCCAGAAGCTTCTTCTGGGTTTCCCACATGGGTGCAGGGTCCCAAGGCATTGAGCCGTCCTCTCCTGTTTTCCCAGATCACAGGCAAGGAGCTAGATGGGAAGTGGAGCAGTCAGGACATGAACCAGTGCACATAAGAGATCCTGGTGCTTGGAGGTGGAGGATTAGCTAGTTAAGCCAACATGTCAGTCCCTCAGTATTATTTTTGTTTGTTTGTTTATGATTTTTTTATTGCAAAATCATATTTATAGAGATGAGATACAGAAAGATCTTCCATATGCTGGTTCACTCTCCAAGTGGCTGTGATGGCCAGAGTTGAGCCAGTATGAAGCCAGGAGTCTCTTCCGGGCCTCCCATGTGGGTGCAGGGTCCCAAGGCTTTGGGCCATCCTCGACTGCTTTCCCAGGTCACAAGCAGGGAGCTGGATGGGAAGCGGGGCTGCCAGGTTTAGAAATGGCGCCCAATGGGATCCTGGCTCGTTCAAGACGAGGACTTTAGTAGCTAGGCCATTGCACGCCAAGCCCAAACAGGAAGATTTTGATGAGGGCCAACATAGTGGCTCAACAGACTCATCTTGCACCTGCAATTGTCGGCATCCCATATGCCTGTCAGTTCAGGTTCTGGCTGCTCTGCTTCTGATTCAGCTCCCCACCTGTAGCCTGGGAAAGCAGTGGAGGATTGGCCAAAGCCTTGGTACCCAAGACCCAGCAGTTAGGCCCAGAAGAAGCTGCTGGCTCCTGGCTTTGCCTTGGCCCAGCTCCAGCCATTGTGGCTATTTATGGAGTGAACAGCATGTGAACCAGCTTTCTTATTGTCTCTCCTTCTCTGCAAATCTGCCTTTCCCTTAAAAATAAATAAAATGTCTTAAATTAAATGAAAGCTAAGTTTACTTGGGTATAAAAAGCTTTTCTAGTCCATGCATAAGTTTTTTTTTTTTTTTTCATGATATGTGTTTTTCTGTTAACTATCTAAGGACCCTTCATCGTTCTCCCATTCTGTGGGTCAGCTTCTCACATTGTTGATAGCATCCTCAGGCATCACCCCATGTGGCCTCTTGGACCAGAATCAGGAGGCAAATTAAACTCTGCGCTCCATCCCCCCAGCCCCAGCTCCCTAAGTTCAGCCAGCAGCATGCCTTGTCCACCTGTGATTCAGGCCTAGGTCTCGGGAAAGGACTAGGATTCAAGTGACAGCCACCACCCTGGCCAGCTCCTCACCTCCCTCTCCACACTCACAGTTCCCACCCCTGCCTTAGCGCCTCTCCCTTCCCCTCCTTTCTCCCTGCCTTCCCTGGCTCAGGGGCAGAGCGGGTGCCCTATTTTTAGATCACACATTGGACTAGGGTTCCAGGAATCCACCTGATGCCTGAGATGTAACCAGACCCTGGGCTGGCCTGCCCTGGAGCTCTAGCCAGGCAGCAGAGCTATGAGAGGCTCCAAGGGCGGTGCCAGCAGCCAGAGCGCCGGCGGAATTCCCACCGGCTTCTTTGCAGAAATTTACAAAATTGTGTGAATATGTGTGAGCACAGGCAAAGGACTTGGAATGGCCAAGATAGTTTGGGAAAGGAGCAGGCTTGGAGGATTCCACCACAGGCATTGATGGGAGAGCTTGATTGTAAGCTGAGCATGGAGGATGTCATGACCGTAACCTCAAACAAAACGTTCTCACACGTCAGATTTATTCAGTAACAGGTTGATCTCAGCGATGAATGAGGCATGTGCAGTTGCTGACAGTAGTCTTGAAGCTGTCCTCATTGCAAAAAAGATAATGATGTGAGGAGACACGTATGGTGTCTGGCCTCACATAGATGTTCCACAAAAATACCTCACTCCACATCCTCCACTGTAAAGTACACAATTTTTGCCCATGAGTAAGTATTTCCTAGTTTTAAGATCATCCTGTCTTCTTCTGAAGGAAAACCTTAAACTATGAGCAAATGGCTTAGAACAAGAGTAAAATATTCCTGCAGTGGGAGAAGCTGTGGGAGGTAGAGGGGTCCCGTCACTTCAGGGATGGGAGCTGGGGTTGCAAAACCCAAAATGAAAGAGTGTGAAAGTCCCTAAAAATTCTCCAGTCTTGCCATTTCCAAAAGAAAACTTTTGGGGGGCAGTGTTGTGGCATAGTGGGTATTGCTTACAATATCAGTATGGGCACCCAGTCAAGACACGGCTGCTCCATATCTGATCCAGCTCCTTGCTAATGCACCTGGGAACGCAGTGGAGAATGGACCAAGTGCGTGTGGCCCTGTATGCACATGGGAAACACGAGAGAAATTCCTGACTCTTGGATTTGGCCTGGCTTAGGCCTAACCATTGCGGCCATGTGGGGAGTGAACAAGCAGATGGAAGATTCTCTCTCTGCCTGTAATTCTTTCAGATACATGAATAAATCTGAAAAAAAGAAAAGAAATCCACAGGACTACAGGAATCTGAGCAAGGAGAACACACCATGGAACTTTCAAAAAGTTGTTTTATTCCACTTTAAACCATTTTGCTCCTGCTAACTTTGTGGTTTTCTGATACTTGTATTGACTTCTCGGTGCAAAACCTATCCTGCTATGAAATGATGCTGGTACTCTGCCTTTCATGTTTTGATTGTCCTTTACTGGCCAATCCAACTGTTGGCAGCTTTCTTTCTTCCCTTTCTAGAAAAATGTCTATGGGTAGGGCCTTGGGGGCTGCAGCACAGCAGGTTAACATCTAAGATGTTTATATTCAGTATCAGAGTGCCTGAGTCGAGTCCTGGCTGCTTTGTTTCTGATCCAGCTTCCTGCTCATGCACATCTCACGAGGCAGCATATGCTGACCCAAATCCGTGAGTCTCCCCTGAGATCCAGTGGAGTCCTGTGCTCCTGGCTTTGGCACGGTGCAGCTCTGGCTGGTGCAGGCATTTAGGGGGTGAACCAATGGGTAAAGATCTCTCTTTCTCTCTTTCATACTCTGCCTTTCAAACAAAAATCAATGAATGAAAAAATGAAAAGAATTTTTTTTATACCTGAGAAATGGAAAAGGTTTAAGCACCCTTGGGTGGGTCTGCAGGGGCCAAGCTTTGAGAGGCGGAGTTGGGAGAAGGGGAACATGGGCCTGAGTTCAACCCCGACTCTGGTTCTTCCTTGTCGCGTGCACTTGAAGGAGCTACCAAGCCTCATGTGAGCAGAAGAGGGATTCCAAAGTTACCCATCAGCCTCGGCTTGTGGAAGAACAGGAATCACGCCCCGCAGGACGCTGGTGGCCCACATATCTCAGGGCTCCTGGGAGAACTCAACCACTTCACATCTGTGAAGAGACCCAGATGGTCCCAGGAGCTCTAGAAAATGTCGCTTAGGAATCTGTGAGCTGAGCTGCCATCTCATCGCCCCCCTCGGGTCCCTTCTCTGGGTTTTCTACATGGCCACTGCTACCTCTGTCTCCTTCCTGTGGCCCCTGCCAAGCGGGGTGCATCAGCAGCCCCTGGTCTTGTGCACAGGACTATTAGTGAGTCCATCTCTCCCACCCCCAGGTTGCAGGGCCAAGTGCACAGGTTTAACCCACTTCCCCTGCACACACAGTAGGGCCCGCAGGAGACACCATGTATACCCTTGGGCTCGGGAAGCCTAAAGGAACAATCTAACTGACTCTTTAATGCAGGGGAGAGAATGTTTATTTTAATCTCATTGGAGTCCAGGGCTACAGGGCAGACATCGGGGATAAAACCGGGCTTGGTGTTGTGGGGAGTTGCTTTTAGCCCCCAACATCCCACCACCTGCATCGGGGCACCCAGAGGACCTGCTGCTTCTCTGCCACAGGTCTGGGGCCTGCTTGCTCCACAATGGCTCTGTAAGACCTCAGACTGCTTGGAAGGCTGGGCTTTGGAGAGAAACCCCATGCCTTAATTGTATGTAGTAGGGCCCCAGGCTGTCCTGCTGTCCCCTGGGTGGGAGCAGCAGCCTCCTGGACTCTCCCTGTAGGCCTAGGTGCTGGCAGGACGCCCAGTGCCCCCTCCCTCCCTCTACCTTCCACACAGGCAGCTGCAGCAACCGGTGCCTCCTGCCCAGGGTGTGCCATTGTTCAGACCAAACGGACGTAGAAGCGCTCTCTTTATTACTCTGGCTTGGCCTCTCCCAGGACGTCAGTGGCTCCATCCTCACAGGTCCAGGAGATGGGAGGCCCAACAGGAGCCTGGCTTAGCTGTCCGCTGGGCTGTGGCTTCAGTCCATCTTCCTGAACCCTGGGGAGCAAAGCCCGAAAGTTGGCAGGGGATTCTGGGGGCAGACACGCCTCTCCCCTCCCATCAGCCCTCATGGTCTACATTGCATAATCCCCCCCAGATGCCACGTGTCTCTGTGACCCACAGTCAGAGTGGGGCTTCCTGTATCAGCTACCCGATCCAAGGGGCACAGGGGCACACAGCCTCTCGACCTCTCTGTTCTGAGATGTAGGGCAAGCACAGAGTTGCTGCTCCAGTGAATTGACAGAGGCAGGACTCGAACCCCAGGCTCCGTGCCTGCAGGCTCTGCCCTTTCTGGTATAATAAGCCCCTCTTTGTCCCAGCGGAGAGAGTGTGAGCAGAAGAGGGATTTCAAAGTTACCCATCAGCCTCAGCTTCTGGAAGAGCGGAATGAATCCCTGCAGGACGCTGTGGATCCGGTACACTGCTCAGAAACAGTGAGGAAAAGCCACATTAAGTCTGTGCCCCCTCATGCCCCCTCATGCCCCCTCGTGCCCCCTAGGAGGCTCCAGGGGCAGCCCTGTCCACTCCCCACCCTCAGACACACAAGCAGGCTCCTGAGACGAACTGCAGGCAGCAGGCTGAGCCATTGTTGCTAAAAGTAGCGACTGACTTGACCAACTGACTTGACCAGCAACAACAGAGGCAGGAAACTCCGGGCAAATTCAGGCCCTGGCTACACTGAGCCCGTTGTCTTTCTCTGGCTTGCTCCATTTGTTTGCCACTTTAAACTGTTTTTGTTGCATGTATTAATGGCATGGCCCATTTTTTTCCATGAAGTTCTGCCAGGGACCTTCCAGTGACCTTGAAAGTGGTCAGGAAGAAAACACGAGCGAAAGGAGGAAATACAAGAAAAAAAAAAGGTCATGACTCTCAGGTCTTTGGCCAGCCACAGCCCTTGCCATGTGTGCATGTGTTTAAGAGAGAGAGAGAGAGAGATCAGGAGACAGGGCGGAGGGGTCACTCACACAGCCCGAAGTAGATGCCAACGGTCTCCAGGGAGGCGAAGGTGAGCAGGCCAACCCCAAGGGACATGAACCAGTCTGGGAGGGTGGCAGAGAGAGAGACAAGACTGAGCCTGCGGTCTGGGCATGGCTGGCCCTGGTCCAGCCCCAGGCCTGCCTCAGAGCTCACCTGCAGAGTAGTGGTAGCACAGCAGCAAGGCCCCGATGGCGAAGCAGAGGAGGACAAAGTGGAAAAACTCATCTGGAAGGGCAGAGTGGGGGCAGGGAGTCACTGCTCACATCACCTTTTCCAACAAGTCTGTGCTGTTAGGCAGCGCGATGCAATGTGTATGCCCAGCTACTGATCCCCGCGGGCGTCCTGGACATGGCCTACACTTGGGGAATTTCCGTTTTAACCCAGGGAATCTTCATCTCTAGCTGGGAAGGTGGCACAGCGTGGCTGATTTCCACCCTGCCAGGAGAAACAGCAGGGACCAGTTCTAGCTTCTCACAGAAGGGGGGTCTTTAGCAAGAGGCGCTTGGGGAACAGCTGCCATCTGTCACACCAGCAACCATGCTTTCAGACGGGCACAGTGGTTATGCCTGCATCCTACATTGGCACCCCCAACTCAAGTCTGTTACTCTGCTTCTGATCTAGCTTCTTGCTAATAAACACGCTGGCAGGCAGCAGGGGCTGGCTCAAGGACTTGGGTCCCTGCCAACCATGTGGGAGATCTGGAGTTTCTGGCACTCATTCTTTCTCTTTGTTTCAAATAAAATGAAAACCAAAACCCATAATCTCCCTCCTTTCCTTCCCTTCCTCCACAGACTCTAGGCTGTGGGCGACAATGTCCCTTCTCTGGAGTGCGGTCCAGTTTCACCTCTTGCCCCTCAGCCGAGCCCATACCTAGCGCCCTGCTCAAGCCGCAGGCCTGGGAGGCATGTGTTGTCCTAGTGACCCCACTGGGAGCAGAAAGGGCACAGGACCCCTAAGCTAAGCTCAAGTTGAGCAACTCATTAGCTGGCAAGGCCAAGTATGAGAAGTGGGAGCCCTTATCCCCCTCCTTGAGCTGATTCTGGGCCGACGAGTTTGCAAACTGAAGGGCACGTGCAGAAGTGGCTGCCACTGTGGCTGTCCCGGGTCCCAGAGCTCCGAGAAGCACTGGCAGCACAGCAGCTGGGCCGGCGGCGTCCTTACCATCCTTCTTTATGTTCAGTCTCTGCAACTGTGAGGCCTCCATCTCTCCTGCAGAACAAGAGAGACACTTGGATGGCGAAGCAGGACGTGGAGTTTTCTCTCCTCTGCCTCCCCAGGGTGGTCTCCTGGGAACTGCCTCTCATTGGAGGGCACCCACTAAACAATCAGCTATGGAGATGGGGTGGCTGTGGCTGGGAGCCATTGTGGCTTCCTCCCTGGCAGACCCCAGCCTGCCTTCCCAGATGTGCCTGAGCCCCAGGACCTGCAGGTTCCTGAGTGACGGCCTCCCAGGAGGCCCACCGCCCTGGCACCAGGCTCTCCTTGAGCGTTCATAGTTACCACTTGCTGAGGTCGAGCTTCTCCTCCGAAGTCCTGAAAGCAGAAACACAGCGTGAGGTCAGCCTGGGCACCACCCCCGGGTACCACCACCCCTGGGTGCCTCCACCCCAGGAAGCCCCAGGAAACCAAAGGACTGGCCCTTGGCTAACTGTCCAGACGTGCACTGGGTCTTTCAATCCAGTGCTGTGGGGCTGTAATCCCCCTGCCATATAGTCCCTTCTCAATCCCTGGCTCCCTGCCCCCACCGACCCTGGCCCCAGGTGGAGGCAGTTTCTGAAACTCCCAACCATGGGCCTCACTCATAGCTGGTGCTTCTGAGGCAAAGAGATGCCAAGACTTGGCCAAACATCAGTCTCCCTGCCCCCTGATGATCCCTCTCCCTTAATGGAACACTCACCTAGTTCTTCTATGGGCACCAAATCTCCAGCGCCATCTGTTAGGAAGGAAAACCAGTAATCACACATCCATGCCCTCTGGGAGGGAGGAGTCAGGCTCCAGGGGTGGCAGAGCCTGCGTCCACCTGACGGGGCAGCCACCACCCCCAGCCAGAGGAGGCTGCTGTAGGAGTCCCTGCTTGGTCTGACAAGGCTTCCAGTTTCCCATGAGAAGACAGATCTTAACACAAACTTGTGGATTTTTAAAATGGTTACCCATGGATCAGCATTGTGGAATAGCGCGTTAAGCTACTGTTTGAGTTAACTTGAGTCCCTGCTGTTGCACTTTCAACGGCCTGCTAATGCGTCTGGGATAGCAGATGGCCCTGCCACCCAAATGGGAGATCTGAATGACGCTCCTGGTACCTAGCTTTGGCTTGGCACAGCTCCAGCCAGTGTAGCTATTTGGTGAATGAACTACCCGATGGAAGAAATCTCTCTCTGTGTTGCTCTCTCTCTTTCTCTAACACTACCTTCCAAATAAATAAGAAATTAGTTGTTGGGGGAAAACAAACACCCTATAGTTGCTCATAATGCCACTACCCACAGGTAGCCACTGGGCAGGTTTGCTGCATAACTTCTCAGACTTCCTCTCTGTGTCTACCTAAGTGTTTTTTGCTCTTTTTCTTGGCTCATTATCAAGTTTTAGGAGAGTGAATCAGTTTTGGAAATGCTGGGTTAGAAAAGTGAAACAAAGGCAGCGCCTGATTCAAGCCTGAAGGTCCTTTCTCTCGCTCTCTCTCTCACTCTCTGTAACTCTGCCTTTCAAATTTAAAAAACAAAAATCTTAGAAAAAAAAAAAACAAGCTCATAGTAAGTCACCATGACTGTTCCATCTGTAAACTTTCCGGTAACTTTCCTCCCTGTTCCCGTAGATCTCCTGTGTTGCACGGTCACCAGGTATGTGAGATCAGATGAACGATGTGATCTGAGGCCATTATCACTTCAGAAGGAGACACCAGGTCAGGGTGTAACTTCCACTCTGTTTGGACACTAGGAAATCCTTATCTTATCTCTACTCCAAACGACACTGCAAGGGACATCTTCACACAGACATGCCTGCACGCACACTGAGAAACTCCACAGCAAGCAGAGCAGTGAAGGGAAAATGGCAAGGCCTATTGCCTCCCGGATGGGCATCCCTGCCGGGGTGTTCAACCCCCTGGCAAAGTCTAAGCTTTCTAGGGACCTTGGGGTGCCGGTTCTCATTACTGCTGTCTGCAGAGAACACAGCTGTGGCCCCTCAACCTGTGACTGGCTGTTCACATTGGCCGCTGTTCTCAGAGTTCAGCCACTACAGAAAGCAGCTCTGGGGTAGGGGTAAGCGGGGGAGGCGGGGGAGTCCCACCACTCACTTTTGGCATGATCTTGGACAAATCACCCAATATTTCTGTTGGTTCATAGCTACTTACCATGTGTGATATTGCTGTCTCTGCTCTGTGGAAGCTTTCCCTGAGAGAAGTGGCTTTGAGATGTCATAGAGATGGACACCTGTGCCCCACCAAGGCACGTTGACCTTGGCTATGCACTGCGTCTCCCACCATGCCCTTCCCCTGTCTCTCCCTCATCCTGAAGGTTGAGCTGTTGTCACATTCCTTAGTGAAACCCCTTTCCATCTGCCCCAGTTCACAATGACCTTGCCCTCCCCGTTTTGGAGATTTCAGTAGCACCCAACTGTCTGTGCTGCACTTAAGGGCTCTCAGGGGTGAGACTCCCTTCTGTCCAGCCACCTGAGCCCCAGGGGTCACAGTCTGTGCCCTTCACCTGCCGAGGGGCCCTTGCTATGAGCAGAAGATTCACCAAGACATGAAGAACGGCATCGGTGTCCTGGCCCAGCCTGCTGTCCACAAATTCAGGTGTAGGAGAAAGTGGTTTCTCTAGAGCCAAGGACTCCCTTCCCTGGGAAAGACCAGACCGCTCCAGCACAGCTGAGTGTCTCTAAGTTCTCCTGGCCAACCACGGAGACATTTAAAAATCTAGCAAACTGGGGGTGGGCAACCAGGCTGATGGCTAAGACGCTGGTATTCTGGGCCCAGGATGGTAGCCTAGTGGTTAAAGTCCTCACTTGCACCCGCCAGGATCCCATATATGTGCTGGTTCATATCCCAGCTGTTCCTCTTCCCTTCTAGTTTCCTGCTTGTGGCCTGGGAAAGCAGTCGAGGACAGTTCAAAGCCTTGGGACCCTGCACCTATGTGGGAGACCCAGAGGAGGCTCTGGACTCCTGGCTTCGAATCTGCTCAGCTCTGGCTGTAGCAGGCACTTGGGAAGTGAAGCAGCAGATGGAAGATCTTTCTGTCTCTCCTCCTCTCTGTAAATCTGACTTTCCAATAAAAATAAATAAACCTTTTTTTAAAAATTCGAATTTAAAAAATTAGTAAAAAATAAAAGAAGGTTCATTCTATCTGGGATTAAAAAAAAAAAAAGATGCTTATATTCTATATCCGAGCATCCAAGTTCAATTCCCAGTTCCAGCTCCTGATTCCAGCTTCATGACAACACCAACTGCGGGAGGCAGGGTGAAGGCTCAAGAACTGGACAGCTGCCACTCCCATGGGAGAACTCTAAGGATTGTCCCGCTCCGGGCCAGCCAGTCTCGGCGGCATGTAGGGAGTGAACCAGAGATGACCATTCTGTGTTGGTTCTCTCTCTCAAATAATTACATTAGAATTTTTTTTCTTTTTAGAGTCTAGGAAACCAACTGAGCCACACTCATAATTCAGTGAGTAGATGATCTCTACAGAGAGAGGAAGATGTATGAGGAAGCACAGTCAGGATCCTAAGCCCCAGTGGATTCCCATATCTGTGGATGCACAAACCCCTGAATATAAAAAGGAGCAATGCTTGCATGCAGCCTATGGCACCCTCCATTGGGCCACTCCCCTGTTACTGCTGATAGTTAGCACAATGCAGATGCCACACATACTGGTTACACTCTTTAGGGAACAATGAGAAGAAAAAGAAGGCTGCACACATTCCACAAAGACACAGCCATGGTGTGCCTGGTTACGTCTTCCACCTGCACCTGCTGGAACCACAGGTGCAGGACCCTCGGCTGCTGTGCCTGAGAACACCACACCAGTTACCTCAGCAGGCAAGACTGTGGGTGCCAGCTACCTTCTTCTGTCCGGCATTTTACAAATATTTGCCAATGTCCAAAAGCCATCGGCACTGTTACAAAAACAATGCATGCTACAAAATGTCACACAACAAAGAAAACAAAGTCTCCCAAACTCTATCAGAGATGATCTCTATGGAAGCAAATGATGCCAATCACTTTAGCTTTCTCTATGACATACTCATAATATAAACTTGTTGTTACAATTACTAAAGAATACAGGCTGTTAAGATGAAGATGATTGTTGCAAATGTTCTCTGATTCAATCATTTTAGAAGCTAGCTATGGAGGCCAGTGCCACAGTTCAACAGGCTAATCCCCTACTCTTTAGCACCAGCATCTTAGTTGGGCACCAGTTCATGTGCAGGCTCCTCTACTTCCCATCCAGCTCCCTGCTTAAGGCCTGGGAAAGCAGTAGAGGATGGCCTAAAGCCTTGGGACCCTGCACACATGTGGGAGACCTGAAAGAGGAGACCCAGAAGAAGCTCGTGGCTCCTGGCTTTGGATCAGTTCAGCTCTGGCTGTTGCGGCCACTTGGGGAGGGAACCAGCAGATGGAAGATCTTTCTCTCTGTATCTCCTCTCTGTAAATCTGACTTTCCAATAAAAAATGAATTTTTAATTTATTTAAAAACAAAACAAAACTTACAGGATACAGTAGATGCAAAACATCATGTAGGGAGAGAGGAGCTGGATGCCAGATGTAAGTTAGGGTCCTGTGTATTACAGAGGCGGAGGCTAATAGGGGAGCAGGGCTCTCAGGCTTGGGGACCCCTAAAACCCGCACAATGGATGGGGTCTGAGCTCTGCGGGAGGTCAACCACAGAGGCAGAAGAGGGGGGCCAGGACCCAAACTCTGACTCTGTGTCTTCAGGACCCCAGGGCTCTGCTCCCATTGCTTCGCCTCAGCTGCGCACATCACACACAGCCCAGCCCGCTTGCGTGTGCTGTGTGGACTGCAGAGGGCCCAGGTCATGCCAGGCAGGAAGCAGCGCTGCGGAAGGTCAGCCAGAGGGTGGAGTATCCCTGCCTATCTGCGACCAGCCACTGTACTCGGAAGCTATTCTTCCAAAGCAAACCCGGGCAGGAGGGGCATTCTGCTTTGTCTGGGAAGGAAGGCAGCCTCCTTTCCAGTGTGGCCCAAACAACACCAGCCCTGCAGCTTGAGTCTCCTGCTGAAGGCTTGAGACTAGGCACCTGTGAGCTCTTCTCCCCTCCTCTACTTCCACTCTCTCTCCCTCTCTCTTACTCAAAGAGCTGTTCATCAAATAAGACCTTATGTCCACCTTGTAAATAAACACGTAGGAGTGCTGGGGCTCTGTCTGGGAAGCAGCAGCTCAGACAGACATCCCGAGAAGCCCACATCATTCAATGAGCCTCTTACAGCAGTTTGGCGCCCAATTCCAGCTTCCTGGGAGGCAGCCATGACAGACCAGGTCATTCGAATCCCTGACACTCACGGAACAGGCCTGGACTGCATGCCTCGGTTCAACCAGACTCTTGTTCAGTCCTGGGTCAATCTGTGTGTTAGAGCACTTTCTCTCTTCCAACCTTCCCAACAACCAAATAAATGTGAAGGGAAAAAAAGTTACAAATTACAGAATAACATGGCATAATGCTAAGGATAAGACAGCTAGAAACTTCAACCAGAGAACAAATGTATCTCTCTGATCAATCCTATCTGTATACAAGTTCAAGGATACTTAAAAAATTTCACAGAAAATGGAATGAAAAGTTTACTTTGTTGCAAAAGGGGGGGGCAGTCATACGTAGCATTTTCATGATATACTTTTACCAGGAACATTTGGAGGGCCCCACATATATGCACAGATGTTTCCAGAAGGGGATGTGGAGAAACTACATTGGAGCATTGCATGAGGATGAGGGATTGGTTTGCTGTGTGAATTTGCTCTTGAATCATATTGTGATGTATAGATAAATGCATATTAAATCTTTGCTATACCTGAGGAGGAGGAGGAAGACGAGGACGAGGAGGAAGAAGAGGAAGAGGATTTGTCTCTTTCACGCAGTCCTCGGGCAGAGCGCCGGGGCTCCTCATCTTGCTCGTGGACATTCTCTCCATCTGAGAGGCACCAAAGGCAAGGCCATGAGCGTTCCCAGCCCTCCCGCCGCAGGGGCCGCCAAGCAGGCGGGACAAGACTGCGTCCCCAGACATCAAAGCCAATAAGTGCAGGAAGCTGGGTCCTGCAGAGACCTCGGGGCTGGGGGGTGGCTCTGGGAAGGCTCCAGGCAGACATTTCTCTGACTTGGACCCCACAGAAGGGATTTCTGAGCCCTGCACCTGTCCCAATCCTTGCCTGTCCCATCCTGCACTCTGTGGTCACAGGTCTTTTCCCGCCTGCTTGGGATTCTCTGTAGTGAAAGCCTAAGCTTTGGGGAGCAGCAGAGGGGCCCCACAGCTAGCAAGCACCGGGCTCATCAGCCTGTCTCGGGCATGCACGTGTATGAAGTCCCTGCTTCCCGCTGCCCCCCGCCAACCTGTTGAACTGGGATTCCAGCCATAGCGTCCCAAAGGCTAAGTAAAATCTTCCAGGCCTGGTTCCCCCACCCCGCCCACTGCTGGACTCCATCTCCCACAAGGCTTTGCCCAGGGATCACATACCACCGTCTCCATCTTCTGAGCCTCTGTGGAACCCGCTGTGATCCGGAGACCAGGAGGACTCTGGCGTCTCCATGGCTTCTGCTGAGTAAGAACAACTCTCCCAGTTCACCTTCGTCTGTGTGCTACGTACCTGAAGAACTTGGCAAATAAATAAGGAAAAAGCAAACACCCAATGTTTGAAGGAATAAGAAAAATGATGTACAAAAAGGCATTGGCAAATTTGAATCATGACCATCTCTTAGCCATTTTAAGAATTTTATCTTCTAGGTGTGGTATTTATATTTGATGTTATGTTTCTCGAAAGTCTCCAGAAATTTATGGGCCTAGTGCGGTGGCCTAGCGGCTAAAGTCCTCACCTTGAATGCACCAGGATCCCATACGGGCGCCAGCTCTAATCCCGGCAGCTTCACTTCCTATCCTGCTCCCTGCTTCTGGCCTGGGAAAGCAGTTGAGGATGACCCAAAACCTTGGGACCCTGCACCCACATGGGAGACCTGGAGGAAGTTCCTGGCTCCTGGCTTTAGATCGGCTTGGCACCGGCCATTGCACCGACATGAGGAGTGAACCATCGGATGGAAGATCTTCCTCTCAAGATATTAGCGATGTATCATTTGAGATTCAATCCCATAAGAGGTTGAACAAGGACAGCCGGGCACCTGCTCCAGGCCCCCTGTCATTAGCACCAGGAAAGAGGCCAGCAGTGGTCAATGGCGGCTTGTGGACACCATGCTGACTTAGTTACATGGCGCTGCTGCAGGGTTGGGCTTGAGCAAGTGTCCTCCCGCCTAGGGACCTTTCTCGGGCCTGGTTTCCCAACTCCACTCCCGGCTGCTGTTTCTCACTAAGGCAGCCTGGGGGAGGAGCAGTGGGGGCGTCCTGGCTGGGGTCCCCAGCTCCTGGCTTCTGCCTGGCCTCGCCCTGGCTCTTGCAGGCGCTCAGGGGAGTGCACCCGTGAATGGGAACTTGCTCTGCCTGTCCTGCCTCTTAAATTAAGGGAAAATCTCAGGTTCACAGAAAGTGACTCTCTTTAAGCCAAGACAGACCAGGGGAGCTGAGACAAGCAGAGGTTCCCTGCCGTCTTAGTATTTTGTGTTAAACAGGAGAGAGGGACATGTCGCAGGTCTCTGGGTTTGTCTCTCCACGGACTCCAAGCCCATCCCCAGCCGCCCTCACTGGCCTGAGGCTCAGCCTGCAACGATTTTCCTGGCTTTCGGACCCTTTTCCCACCCAGCCCCGCTGAGTCACCGCCGATGCCAGGCCCTCCACACCCAAAGGTCTCACTAAACTGGATTTCCCTCTACGGTTCAGCCTAGATTTGCCGAAATCCTGCCGTCACCAGGGCCGGGCCCGGGCTGGGTGGGGGCAGGGGAGCTCCCAGGGCACACCCAGCCCTCAGCCCTCCACACTCCGGAGAGAGGCAGCGCGAGACTGCGGTGCTGCTTTACAGGAGAAGATCCAGAAGTGGCAAGGAGACTCGCATAAGATGGTTCCGACGACTGGTGGGTCCCCTCAAGAGCGTGTGTTGGAAATGACACCCTCACTGCAGCAGTGTTGGGCGCGGGGTCTGCTAGACTTCCGCATCGCGAGAGTGCCTCCATTAGTTATCGCGAGACTAGGTTTGCTATAAATGTGCGGTCAGAGCACCCCCACCCGTTCTGCATTCCGCCATGGGATGAAGCGGGGTGGACGCTCTACCCTCATCTGATACCAGCCCCCTCAGCCTAGGACGTCGGCACCCCAGAACTGTGAGAAACTCAAATCTGTTCTACTAAATGACTCCAATTCGGGAATTGTGTTGTAGCCACACAGACTGAGTCAGTCAGCCGCCCCTGACTGGGTTTGTCCTCCGTGGGCTACTTTGGAGGAGGGGGCCGAAGCAGCCAGAGCTGAGACACACTCCCAGCCTGTGGCTGTGGGAGGCACCAGCCTTGTGGCGGTACAAGCATTCACAGAGAGGTGGGTGGTGCGGTGGACTGTGACAGAGCAGGAACCAGCGATCCTGGGGGCATCATGGGGCCTCAAATGCAATCTGGCAGGTGGATTGGGAGGGAGCCACATGCGGGCAGGGCAGCCTTAGCTCAGCGGGTCTGGGTTGCACTACGGGTTGAGGTGAGGGGGCGGGGGGGGGGGGAGAAACCAAAGCAAGCAGCCAGCAGGGGTGGGCACTGGCTACTTCCACCCCTGTGCCCTCAAGTCCCCTTCTTCCGGCTGTTCCATGAAAAATCCAGCCCCCAGTGCACAATGTTTTGGGATTGGCCCTCCAGATACCACCTGCCCTGCGGTCAGCAGGCTCCCCTGCAAGTGTGCCACCATCGATAGCCCTTCTAGGTTCTGCCACACCAACCTCCTCTATTCTGTGACCCCCCGCCCCATCTTCCTGAGAAGGGCTTGTTGGAGGATGCGCAATTGTCAGCGCAGGTAGGACGCTGCTTGGACAATCACACGCTGTAGCAGAGGTCCCAGGTTGGAATCCTGGCTCTGCTGCTGCTGACTCCCTGTTAAATCAGGCTGGTGTGACTGACTAGCGGGGCTCCTCTGAGGATTGAGATACAAAGGACTTTGAGTTCTCTGGCAGTAGGAATCACATTCTTGTTGTGCTGTGAGCTGTTCCAGCCCCTGGCTTAGACGGAGTATGCCCCTAAAGAGAAGTCAAAGTGTGGAGAGCAAGTGTTTCGATGTCTGGGGGGAGGCGTTTGCCTAGTGGTTAAGACACACACAGACACAGACACACACACACACATACACACGGTTAGGATGCCTGCATATCACAACCCAGCACCTAGATTTGATTTCCAGCTCCAGCTTCCTGCTGACGCACACTCTGGGACTCAGGGTGCACGGCATGTATGTGTGGAAGATGACCCTCATCCCTCCATGCCTTGTCTTCTCTACCAAGAACAGGGTCTGGGCAGACCAACAGTCCGAAGGATGCCAGGCACAGAGGCTGCAGCCGAGCACAGTGGCAGAGGGACAGGTGTTGGACATGGCCATCTAGACACTGTGGGATACTCACACCGGGCATTAGAGAACCTGCGTTTGAGTCCTGGCTCCACTTCTGATTCCAGCTTCCTGCTGGGTGAACCGTGGGAGGCAGCGGGGGATGGGCCAGGTACCTGAGGGAGACCTGGACGGAGTTCTGGGCTTCTGCCTTCAGCTTAGCCCAGGCAGGGTCATTGTGTGCCTTTGAGAAGTGAACCAGTAGATGAAAGATCTCTCTCTCTGCCTGATTCTCTCTCTGTGTTTCTTAGTCTTTCAAATAAATAAAGATGTTTTAAAGATGTATATATTTTTTTGAAAGGCAGAGTTACAGAGAGAGCTTCCAGCCACTGTCTTACTCCCCAAAAGACCGCAGCAGCCAAGGCGAGGCCAGGTCGAAGCCGGGAGTTTCATTCTGCTGTGCATTGTGGGTGCAGGCACCGAGTACTTGGGCTACCTTCCAATGCTTTCCTAAGTGTATCAACAGGGAGCTGGATTGGAAGTGGAGGAACTGAAACTCAAACTGGCACCCTTGTAGGATGCCAAATTTGTAGGATAGCAGGTGGTAGCTTTATCCACTATGCCACAGAGCCCATCCAATAAAATTTTTTTGAAAAAGAGAGAAAAGTAACAGGAGCAGGACATTCAGCCCAGCAGTGAGGACCACATGGATGGTCCTGGCTACTGTCCCCAGGTCTCTGCAGGACTTCTCTGGGACAGGGGGACCATGCCAAGCTGTGAGCCCACAGGCAGGATCAGGGCTTCAAGACAGTCATCAGCTCCATAGTAAAGGATTTTCTATAAAGCGACAGTGCCTTTGGGGCGGCCGACTGAGGAGTGCCGGGGCTTGGCTTTTGTGCTGATGAGCTCTGTGTTCACTGGGTTCCTGAGAATCAACCTCCTGTATGGGCAGGAGGGTAACACTGGATCATCCGCCCTGAAGTAAAGTGGTTGCTGGAATGTAGCTTAGCCCTGACGAGCACCCTTGGCCTATGTCAGACATTGCATGTCGTGTCCTCTACGTGGGATCCCCAGAAGCTAGTGGGGAGCCCCACAAGGCAGACAGGTATCCTGTGGCTGCATCTCCTCTTCCTTGCATTGAGCCCATGCTCCCTGTTGCTAGAAGCCAGAGGCCTCCAGGGTGGGCTTGAGGCCCAGTGATGCAGTTTTCATGGAACTCGCCCTTACGGTGTAGACAGATGGCCTCAAAGTGTCCTTGTAAGAAACCACGGATGGAGGTGCCGCTTACTGTGGGAGTACAAGCGAGGGATAGGAAAAGCACAGAACAGAACCGCCCTGGCCTGCCTCATGTCTTGTCAGTAGCCGTGGTAGAATGGGGTCTCATGCTCAGTGAAACAAGACAACTATGAGACAGGTGGATGACGTCCCATTACCGTCGGTGACAGACTTCACACTCGTGAGTCTTGGCGCCTACGTAATGGCCTTCAAGGCAGCTGCTTGTGCCTCGACTAACTGGCTACATCTCGATGAGCCCAGCATGGGTGGAAATGTGTGAAATCCACGTGACCGTGGCGCAGCCCTGACTGGCAGCACACCGCACAGTGCCGTGGTGTCCCCTCCTGACCCCAGGGCTGGCTGGCAGTGGTACTTGTAGTCCTCCCAGCATTGCCAGAGAGGACAAGGCTGTACAGCCTAGCACGGGCAGTTTCAAGGCCAGTCACTGCCACGTGTGTCACTTTGCACTGCTAGGCAGTACCAAATAAGCCTCTGACTGCCTGCCACCTTCATCCTGCACCCCTGGGTTTGAAGGTTAAAGGGAAGAAATGGAAAACTCTGCAGAGGCTTTCTCTGGCCCTGATTCTCAAAGGCTCGAGGTGGGCACCTAGGCAACCAGAGCCACATCCTTGTGGCCCTGTCTGTCTGTCTCTCTTCTCTTCCTACCAGCCATTGGACCCTAAAGGAGGAAGCACCTCATCAGCTTCCGCTCCGGCTTCTACCCCTAGCTCAGCCAGTCGACCCCTCCTGCAGCCCAGAGCTGCTCCTGGACACACAGGCAAGGCAGCCGTAACCCCGCAGCGGAACAACCAACAGCCTGGCTTAAAAACAGCCACTGGGACTGCAAGACTGCGAGACACAGAGGCAGCAAATGCGAGGGAGCTTCATAGCACTGGTCATCGGGAAAATGCCAATCAAAACCCCCGCAGGGGCTGGGTGTGCGGGCCAGAGGAAGGACCCCATCCCACATGAGAGCGCCCAGCTGTGGCAGCTGGTTCTAGCTCCTGGCTCCAGCTTCCCATTGCACAAACCCCAGCAGACAGCTGTGGTGACCCAAGTAACTGGACTCCTGCCACCCACATGAGAGAACTGGGCTGAGCTCCCAGCTCCCAGCCCTGGCTCTTGCAGGCACTGGCAAGGGAACCAGCAGCTGGAAGCACACGCTCTCTCTGCCTCTCAAGTAAATAATAATAATTAAAATCATTGCCAAGGTGTCAAAGTGACCCCAGGAAACAGCCTGTGCAGATCTCCTCTCCCCAGGAAGCCTCTTTGAGGGGGAGTGGGTGTGTGGGGGTTGGTTTTCAGAGGCAGGCAACTGACTTCCTGCCACTATGCCCTAATATGCTCCTGCCCCATAGGGCTCAACCTTTCTGGGAAGTTTTAAGTGAAAAAGGAGAAAGAATGAACTCACCAACTTAAGAGGCCTGGAGAACCAGGGCGCTGTGGCAGCTCCTGGGCGAGGCTGACAGTGCCAGGGACGGGGTGAGCCACCTTACCCTCCCCTGGGCCACTCTGAACACACAGGAGACTGGCAGGTGGCAGCCATCCTGCCCCCAGCCCCAGCTCTCTGACGTTTTCCCAGGGGTGCCTTGGAGCACAAGGCAGGGGAGGCCACTGGGCTAGGTCCTCCCAGGCGGACCTGACCTGTCCAGGCTGCCTGTAGCTGCCTGTAGCCTTTGGGTCCTTACCCTCAGAAGCTGCTGGGTCTCCCAGTGGGCGGGGTGCCTGCAGTCCACCAAGATTCAGCGGGCTCTTTAGTTCCAACATAGATTCTTTGTTTAACCAGTGGAGAAGAGGAGGCTCAGAGGAGTCAAAGGGTTTTCTAAAAGTCCCACAGCAAGCTTTCCACGACCAGGCACAGGCAGGAGCCTCAAAACAACCTGGAACATGCCAGCTGCCTCCCTCCTCTGACCGTTTCTGACACAGGGACTGGGTTACTCTCCCGGCTGGCAGGTACAGAGCCAGGATCCCAGATTACCCTAGAAGGACAGGTTCAAGCCTGTGGGCACCCTGCTTCTAAGTCTCTTAAAAACAAATCCAGCACCCCAGCCTTCCCCCGCCGGCTCCTGCCCCCTTACCTGTGTCACCGAGATCTGGGCAACAAGGCGAGCTGTGTGCCAACTGTGAGGATGGTGAGCCAGGCAGGGGAAGGAGAGGCGGCTCCTGTGACAGTGAGGGGGGCGGGGCGGCGTGACGTTGCCCCTGGGCCCCACGCGCTTACCCAGCTGGCATTCCTTCCTGCTGGTGCTATCGGCCCCAGGCCTTCCTGTCTGACTGTACTCTTTCCGGCAACACCCCAGGAGAGGCAGGCAACTACATGCATGCCAGCTCCCAGAGCCACAGCTGTGGCCTGGGGCAGCAGGGCTAGGGATGAGGGGGCAGCTGTGCCAAGTTCCAGGAAGACAGAGGTGGGGCTTGTCCCAGGTACCCCTTCCACGCCCACTGACAGAGCTGACTCAGACCCTAGTCACATGTCCCAATGAGCCCCTTGCTCCTGGGAGAGGAGGTGGGGACAGAGGGTTCAGGGACTCTGACACGCAGGGCCTGGCAGTGCCCTCTCGGAGAGGACACTTATGCCCACGGGAGAGACAGGTCTGAGAGAGTGGCAGCTGGTCTCACACAGCCCAGGCTGAGCTGCTGACCCCACTGTGGCCCTCCACTGCCTTCCCCTGTCCTGCCGGGATGAGGGAAGTGGGAGGTTGAAGGGAGGAGGCCAGGTGAAGCCCAGACAGCTATGGGCTCCCGGCAGGCTTTCAGGAGGAGGCGTCACCTTCACCTCAAACCCAGCCCCACATGCACCATCATGCCTGACCTGGGCCTCTCACATGCTGAATCTGACCCTTCTGGAAATTCCTGTTGGCTCCACCTGTGGTCTAGGCTTAGTCTAGAACTTTCTGTGCTCTTCCACTGCAGAAGCTCTAGGACAGCCCATGCCATTGCTAGGCTCCATGCTCCAGTTCCTGCCTCCCCTCCTCCTGCCATCTCCCCCACCACTGCCTGTCCTGGCACAGTGGCCTGAGAGGGCTTGGGCAGAGCCATGTCAGCCCAGACCCCTCTGCTCAGCCTGCTTCCAGGTTCCCGCGGCATTCATACACACTGCCTCCTCCTCTCCCTGCCTCTCTCCACCTGCTCTTGCTCAGGTCCCTTTAGCTGTGTGGGCCTCAATTACCCCAGGAAGGTCCCTGCCTCCAGGCTTTGTACTACCTGTTTGCACTCCCTCTGAAAGCCCTGATTTCCTCCCTTACTCCTTCAGGTCTCTCCTCCAAGAGGCCTTCTTTGACCACCTTGCACAGAATAGGAACCCCAGCGTTGCCCTTCCCTGTCACCTGCCCTCGCTGTCCACCACCTGTTGTGCCATGTGTTTGCTTGTTTGCACATTTCCTCGTAACATGTTTATTTGTTCCAGAATCCAGGAATGAGTGAGTAGCCTGAAAGGTTGGCCCGGGAGGCATCCAAGGGTATTAGGAAGTGACCTCTGGGTCAGACCTGCAGGTCAGGGACACTGCTTCATTGAGAACCTCCTAGTAACTGCCCAGCTAGAGCCTGGAGGCCTTCATGCTGCGTTGGGGATGTAACCACAGAAGGCGGACCACGAGCTTGCTGTCACCCCAAGAGCCAGCCATGGGGAGCCACCCAAAAGGGACCCCATCAAATCCACGTGGTAGACAGTCTGCCAAACTGCTAACTGGTAAGGCCATTGCTACCAGCAGACAGCTGGCCAGACATGAAACTGGTGCAGGAAACAGCAATTTAGGATGGGACATCCAAAACGGAATTGTCCAAAACACAGCACACATGACTTGAAATGTGACAAGTGAGAATTGAGACATGCTCTGAGTATAAAATGGACAGAGTTGCAGAGACTAAGTGTAAAAAAAAAAAATTACATATACCCAAGAAAGCTCTGTTGGTCATATTGAGAATATTTAGGATATATTGTGGTTTCATGAAATCCTTGGGACTATGCTAAATGTAGCTCCTGGAGGTTTTATGCTTTCAGCAGCTGCACCTGTTCCCCCAGAGCTCACAGAATTTCCATTGGACTGTGCTTATTTAGAGGGTCTAACCAACTGCACTTGGTAGCTGATGGGCTTGGGGTGGGCGACCCCCTAGCTGTAATTCTGCCTCCTGTCTCCACCAGTTGCTCCTTTCTGATGAGACCATGTGGTCCAGGGGTCACAGGGGACAGCCAACAGTGAGTTTTCAGCTCAACCCAAGGACACACACAAATTCTCATGTTCAAAGTCCTTACCTTCCATGCACCAGGATCCCATATGGATGCTGGTTTGTAGCCTGGCAGCTCCACTTCCCATCCAGCTCCCTGCCTGTGGCCTGGGAAAGAAATAGAGGACAACCCAAAGCCTGGGACCCTGCACCTGCATGGGAGACCTGAAAGAAGCTGCTGGTTCCTGGCTTTGGATCAGTTCAGCTCCAGCCATTGCAGCCAGTGAACCAGTGGATGGAAGATCTTTGTCTCTCTCCTTCTCTCTGTAAAATCTGACTTTCTGGTAAAAATAAATCAATCTTAAAAACAAACCAAAAAACAGCCAAGTCTGACCGAGTCAGCAATTCTGGGACTGGGGCCCACAGCCTACAATTGTAAACAGTGCTTCCCAGTGGGTCCTGTTACCTGCTCAGGTTTGAGAATGGGTAGGCTGCTTAACACCTTCGCTGTTTATAGTTCTTAAGGCTCAGCACGCAGCAGGTGCTGTCAGAAAACTACCTTCTGGCTGCTTCCTCATCTCAGCTGCCAGAACTTCCCTCTCTGAGCCCTAGTTGCCCTCTGAGAACCTGCTGCAGCACCTGATTATGTGTGTACCTGGTACAGGATGGATGCACAGCCCCAGGCCATTTCTGTCCCTCAGCTATGGGCAGGGGTGCGAGGGACACCCCAACTCGGCTCCTCCCTGGAGTGACCTCACTGTCCTGCATATGTGGGAGGCGGGGAGGAAGGGGATGATTCATGGGACAAACACCCACTGTCCTGTGGGCACAGCTCACAGCCCCAAGCCAGCTCAGCAGCTGAGTGTGGCATCTGGCTGGCCTGCATTCCAGAGCTGCCAGCTGAGCCACCTGACTCAGCAGGTGCAGGCGCTCTGCGGACAACAGTTAGCTCAACCACCATCGCCCCATCCACATAAAGGAAATGAGAGCAGCTCTCGGGCAGGGCCTGGCACATCGCGATCTCGGGCACTGGCATGCTTGTGATGGGACCGTGGATCTACAGGGCTGACTGGGACTCCGCACGTGACTTCCAGCGTCCGAGAATTCCTCCTGTAGGTGTTGGGGAGAAGAATAGATTGTCCATCTGACGAAGCACTCAGGAACCTAGCTCTTTGCTTTGTTTCTTTTATTCTTTCCTTAAGGTTCATTCCCTTAAGGTTTTTGAAAGGCAGAGTTAGAGACAGAAGGCGAAAAAGAGATCCACTAACTCATTCCCCCAAATGGCTACAGTGTCAGGGTGGACCAGGGAGAAGCGGGGAGCCAGAACTCAATCTGGGGCTCTCAGTTGAGTGTCAGGGGTCCAAGTACTTGGGCCATGTCCGCTGCTTTCCTAGGTGTGTTAGCAGGGAGCTGGATTGGAAGTGCTGGTGTCATAGGCAGCGGCTTAACACCGGTCCAGGAGCCTGGTTCTTCATGTGGGTCTTTATTTAGTCATCAGAACGTCCATGACAGCCCATGCCATCACAGGGCTGTCTCAGTAATGACCTGTCTCAGTCATTACTCAGCAGCTATTAAATGAATTCTCTCAATCAGGGAATATTGTACACATTTTATGGATGGGAAAAGGGAGGCCCGGGAAGATGAAATGATCAGTTTGAGGTCACAGGGCTGGGAAGGGGAGGAGTCAAGATTTGTCCAGGGCCTCCCTGACTTGAAACCCCAGACCCTTCCCATTCCAGGTAGCAACAACAAACTAACCACATGAGTAGGACTCACATGCAAAGCCTTAGCTTCTGCCCTACTTCGAAATCTTTTTTAAAAAGATTTATTTATTCTTATTGGAAAGTCAGATATGAAGAGAGGAGGAGAGACAAAGAGGAAGATCTTCTGTTCGTTGATTTACTCCCTAAGCGGCTGAAACAGCCAGAGTCGAGCCAATCTGAAGCCAGGAACCAAGAGCCTCTTCCGGGTCTCCCACATGGGAACAGGGTCCCAAGGCTTTGGGCTGTCCTCCTCTGCTTTCCCAGGCCACAAACAGGAAGCTGGATGGGAAGTGGGGCTGCCAGGATTAGAACCGGCACCCATATGGGATCCCGGCAGGTTAAAAAAAAAAGACTTTAGCTACTAGGCCACCATGCTGGGCCCAGGATCTTAAATTTCTGTGTTTACATCCCAAATGGCTGCAACACCAGAGCTGATCTGATCTAAAGCCAGGATCCCAGAGTTTCATCTGTGTCTCCCCTGTGGTACAGGGGCCCAGGCACTAGAAACATCCTCTGCTACTTTTCCACATATATTAACAGGGAGCTGAATCAGAAGTGGAGCAGCCAAGACACAAACTGGCACCCATAAAAAGTAGGAGCTTTTGAAAGTCATACTATTCAATAATATTAAATATGTTGCATTAAAAATGCAAACTAAAAGAAATAAGAATGCAACTGGTTACGGTTTTGGTGAAGGTTCTAGAGGAACTATTGGCTAAATTTAGGGAACACTGCATTTGAGAATGGGCCTTCTTGGGCAGTGTGGACCAAGGTCTGATGGTGTGGGGCTTAGGCTACCACGGATGGGGCCATGGAGGCTGACAGCGCTCTGCCCTGCTGGGGGTGAAGCCCAGTCAAGGAGGGAGGGAGAAATCCCAGAGGATTCTGGGTACTCCTGCTATAAACTCATTGCAATCTGACATCTCTGCTGCTTCTAGGAAATTTGAATACACACCAGGTTTCCAGTTGTTTAGGGAATTGCTGTGGGGTTTGGTAGGCATGATAATGGTGCATAACATCAGTGCCATCCCTTGGTGATGCAGGCTGCAGGGATTCCTGGTGACATGACACCTGTAACAGTCATGAGAGAAGTGTAGAAGCAGGGAGGTAACGCAGGATTGCCCAGAGCGGAAACCGCGTTCTTGCTGTGTGGATGTCTGCCAAGTCCCCATTAACACAAGCTTCATGGCTGTCATGGGGCCTTGTTCTTCAGAAGGGTCTGGACTGTGGAT